TCAACTGCTAATCCGTGTTCGGCCATGTAGAATATCCCGGATTCAGCACCTCCCCCACAGAGTGAACCATGTGTGAAACCCTCAACACCTCCCCTAACGTCCGCCACCTATCCAAACACGTTCTTCACCCCCACACGCAGAGGTCTGTTTTGTCAATGTAATCTCGATTTCCCCCTAGCTCCCCAGTGCGATTATCTCTCTCACACTTTCATTTCATCTGACGACGGGTTGGTGTAACCGACTTGAAAATCCACGAGTATACCTCGATTTTCCGACGAGCCTTCTCCTTTTATTATACGTATATCTTTATAGGCAGTATTTTATTACAGACAAAGACAAGGGAGACTGGAATTGCCATTTCTGGCTTATTAACCTACGTCAGTCAGTCATCCCCAACCCCGCAGTGTGGAACACCCTGAGGCTCGAACTCGCGACCTGTTAGTTAGAAGTCCACGCTTCTAGCCACGGGACCACGAGCCCGTTACCCTGTCTTTGTCGGTAATACCATACTGTCTGTGCCCTGCGCCGCTGTGCGGCTGCTGTTTGGGTTCGAGTGGGAGCCCGTAAGGCATAACGGTACGAGTGAGTTCCGTGAGAAGTATCGGTGGGCGTCCCCTACCATTATATGTTTATGTATTTATGTATATCGGAAAACTGGCATCTGAAGAAATTTAATTGGATCTAGGTGAAATCATATGGAAAAATAACCTTAAGTGGGTAAATTTCCGAGACTGCTTCGCCAGCTTGTCGTCAGACTTACCGGCCATGTACAAAAAGTTAACTCTTTAACCGTGTCTAACAATTACTTCGGGAGTTGGCCGAAATCTGCGCCAGTGCGAATGACCCGTAAGTCTGTCCAAGTACTTCCAATCATGCCCCCAATCAAAATACTTGGTGAAATCTCCCTTACATTTAAAATGTGTCTGTAGTCGTTTAAATGAACCTAAGACAACTCCAAATCCTTGTGACACACAGACCAACGACTACCTTAGACACTCAGATAGCACATCATAAGCATAAGATTGACTACTTGGATAAAAAGGAGGTCGGTTAGAAGATCTCTGCTGAGGCCTGTGATGCAGTCTGTTGTGGTCAAACAGGAAAATCCGCCTCTACACTCATTTACGAACACCGACTGGCAGCAAAGATGCGACCCCACCCGTCGCATGTAGTCTTGCATACCCTAGACACCGGACACACCTTCGGTTGGGACTTAACTCGCATCCTCGGTGTTTGCCCCCTCAAAAAAGGCCGAGATTCCCTCGAGACCATGCACTCGGATGAATCATGCATCAACCGGCATACCGAGTTGGATGTCGCATGTGAAAGTACAGTAGATGTGCTAACTCATGAAATGTCAATCGAAATTTCGTAATGCGTTCTCGTTTCGAAAAGATAAATTAAGTAGTGTTGTAAGACTAATCATGATGCAGCATAAATCTATAATAATCCAGTAACATCAGGGTGTCTGCTTTCGAAAGAACTTATTTTCGGCTGCATGCAAGATCTATACTCTGCAAAAAATGACTACTCATGTAGTGTGCAATTTTCTCATTGATTTTCGATTTCCTTAAAAATTCAATTATATTTCATGAAAAAACGCATAAAAATATTCATTCTTTTAGTTATTCGGTAGAAAATCACGTCTTCTTCCAAGTTCATACTCAACAGAAGAGTATAATTCAGTTTTAAAAAACTTTTCTAATTTCCGAATAATTTTGAACCCGACCTGCTGTTACACTTGCATTCAGGGTTTCAAAACTACAACCTGTATATTTTCCGTGTACGGAAATCCATGCATTTCTCCGCGGTGTTAAGAGGAGACCATAGGAGGTTCATAAAATTAAGCAGTGGACTTGAGCAATATTGCTAACTTTACAAGTTACCCCTGGTTAGTTTATTTTTGACGCTAGTCCCAAAGACTGTCATCAGGCATACGGCAAATGTAAAAAAATTCAACTTTTTAAATGTACTTGAAAGTCATTACTGGCCTGTTTCTTCTGCTGATGCCCAGTATTACTTTTTCCAGAAATGCTTTAAAAGTTAACCCTTGTGCACATTTACTGTTTATCTGATGACAGCCTGGACGACCGATGTTAAAAATTTGCGGAATAATTGTTTTCCCCTCCCAAAGCACTCCAACTTCGATTTATTGGGACGTGCGTATTCCAATGAACGTCTATCTACATTGTCAAAAACAGGGTAAAGAAAGCCTGTAATAGTCGTCTCTGGTTTGTTTTCTGCCATCAGCCCACCATACTCCCGGCCTAGACAGTCGTCGGAGACTGAAGGGAGGACCAGTTACTCGTAGACACATGACTGTTGGTCCACGCTTTTTATAAGACTTGCGTTTCCGGTTCTTGATCGAATCCATCATGAGAGGCGAGACCGGAGAAAAAGGTGGTGGGTCCCACAAATGCTGCCCATGTCTTGTGGGCTATGATCGAGTACATTCGGTACCACAGGGATGACATCCACCAGTACGTCCGGATTGCAGGATTAAAATGAGCGTTTCCGCTTATATTATTGTCTAAACCGCGATATTTTCCGCCATAAGGATATAGAGAAAAATGCAAAATTATATCAAGCGAAAATGCATATATATTATTCTGGAAACTTAATGAACAAATGGAAATGCTGTTTGCCTCTACAGATGTCTGTACTGCTGCGCCCTCGAGATTCAACTACTATAATTTTGGAACGTCAAACTACAAAATCACGTATTTCCCTTAAAGTTTGACGTAGGAAATATGCATATTGTGCATTACTTCTAGGCAGGCATTGAATATCAAGGGCAACTACGCTTTGGACGGCGACAATACTCGATCTTCCTACTTGAAAATGTTTCAAGGCCTCTAATTTGATTCTATTATTTTCCCTCGTTTCATTGGCGAGGTGTGGTTCTGCAGCTCCACTTGATTGATACCATGTGGTTAGCTTCCTAAAACAATCTTGGTAGATGCAAGTACTCTGACATTGAAAATACCACGTGTTTGCACCCTCCTTACCATTTTAATACAGCGAGTGACTACGCCACGTGGGGAAGAGCGCTTACACGCCAGTCTCGGTCGCTTCAGGCATCAGATCATGCGCGCTTCCTTGCGCGTGCTTCGAGCTCCGCTTGCGACCTCTTTATTATTACTAATTCAGCGAGTAACTAAGTAGGCTCGCTAATGGCATTGTTTGGACGGACCAGAACCCCGTCGGTTTCACTACAGCAGCTATGCACTGAGAATTACCACGCGGTCCCCTCCGTGGCCTTCCAGTTATGAATGCACCCTCCTTATCCTACTAATCCAGCGTGCGGTTATCTCGGGGAGAGGGGGGGGGGTTGAGTGCACGTCACCTTCACGTGCTTCCTGTCGCGTGCATCGAGATCTGTTTGAGTTCTCTTTCCCTTACTGTTACAGCCGGTGGCTAAATTGGTGTGCTGACAAAAATTGTTTTTGTAAGCTAACCATAGCTCAGGTGTGGCTGCAGAACCAAACCTCGCCGTTTCATCTTTTTACTTGGTATTCAAACTATTTTATTTTCATTTGCGTCGACAGACTGGATCTATCCAAAGTTCAGCCTCTTTCCTCATTTTTGATAGCTCTCTCTTCTCTACCGACAGTCGAAAAAATCGATGAGATGATTTCGATGCCGTTGACGTTTGCTTTCCTCAGAATGCGCACGTTTCGAGCAAGGCTACCGAATATGACGAGGAGACTGCTGAAACGGCTATTTATGGTCCTTTTTAAGCCATCGGCCTGCGTAGAAATCCGCATACCGGTTTTCCCTTTCGACTCATTTGTGGGTGTGCCCAGAGCGCCACACTTTTAGTAATAATAATAATAATTTGGTTTATTTAGCACCCATGAGGGTACTCTCACTGGGCATCACAGGGCGACTCTCCATTTGCAGATCAAGACGCTAGACACCAGAATGCGGGTCTATCTGTGTTCAGAAGCCTGAGTCGTTTTCTCAGTCAGCAGTGGCCATTGGGGTGGGCAGGGGCTCTGCTGGCGATATCAAGTCATGCCGTAAGGAAGCCGAGAATGCGCTGTCGGCTGTTTTTTATACGCGTCATAGTCAGTTCAAGACTGCTTGTGACTAATGGTGTGGGTTTCTTTATGGTCAAAATGTCTGAAAATGTGTGCTATGCCAGTATCAGCAAACCATGGCCCTCGCAGCCTAGTATGTGCTGACAATTCCCTGACACATGGTTCCCTGCCGGTAGATGCGATTACGCTCCCGCTGGGTATACAGGTGGTGGGCATGTTTGCCCAGTCATCATCCTCGTCCTTCTGACCCCTGTTAGGGTGTTGTGGATGAAAAATCCTGGTCAAGTGGATGTTGTGGACGAGAGGGTTTGGCGGCACGCCTAGATGAGGTTCCGGCCGTGCCAGCCACCCGCCCCCCCCCGCCTCCGGTCTTCTTGACACCAGGTCCAGGTGGGGAGTGGGGAAGAGAGAGAGAGAGAGAGAGAGGGAGAGAGAGAGAGAGAGAGAGTGGGGTGGATGCTGCGCAAGCTTCCTGTCACCGTAAACTAATTCACGCGTAAGTCACGGTGCCTACTGCACCTTGCTGGGTAGCACACGGTGAATATCGTCGGAATTGACCGTCAAACTATCGAGTTTAATTGTCCCCAAAACGGGCCACACGGTAGATGCGCCGGACCAAAACGTGGGCCATATTTGATTCTGGCAGGTTTTGCCAGGAATGCGCACCCATAACAAATGCTAACCATCGACGCCTTCATGTGGCCACCTAGGGCAACCCCAACCACCTCGGTCACCGTTCACGCATGACCTGAGATATCTTGGTAATGTCGTTGTGGAGTGGGACTGTTATGTCCGGGATAAAATCCATGTACTCCAATCGTGCCCCCAAAACGGGACGCATGGTAGATGCGCTGGCCCAACACACAGACCGTATCGGATTCTGGCGGACGTTGTCGAGAATGCACACCCAGAACAAATGCCAACATTCGAGGTGTGGTGGCAGGCCCAGTTGCTGGCTCACTTCGCCTCCTCCTCCTCCTCCTCCTCCTCCTCCTCCTCCTCCTTCTCCTCCTCCTCCTCCTCCTCCCATTGTCGTTGTTGGTTAAAATCCTGGACGTTTAGTGGGCCAGAGGTGTGATGGAACGCCTAGGTGCGGGTTTTCGCCGCGCCAGCCACCTGCGCCCTCCCTCGCCTCCGGTCACCTTGGTTATGTCTTAACACCGGACTCAGATGGAGAGGAGGAGAGAGTGAGGTAGATGCCATGCAAGCATACTACCCCTATAAACTAATTCACACACAAGTCATCGTGCCTGCTCTCACCATGCTGTGGAGCACGCAGTGTGGATATCGTCAGTCACGACGGTCGAACTGTTGTGTTTCGTGGCCCGAGGTGTAATGTGTCTGTCTAGTGGTCTCTGTTGCCTCAGTCGGGGTGTGGTGCGTTTAACTGGGACGTGAACGGGTGTTGCCGTATGGATGCTGCGTTTGTCCAAACTGAAGTTTCATGGGAGATCAGCGCGTCTGGAATTAGGCGAGGTTGTTTTCAGGGAAGAGCCATAATGATGAAATTGAGTGACCCTGCATTTGCTGAGCCCTGAAATGAATGAGGTGGCCGGGGCGATGACTGTCGGCCACAGCTCCAAGGGAGTAGAGTGTGGTAGCTGCTCTGTCTTTATTTAGGAAGCTGACTGTTGGGCAAGTAGAGGGGACACTGCCTTATTTGCCCGCGCTCTCTCTCTACTGACTACGCCCACACATCTCTGGAGGCAATGAAAGGCGCGTCGATCGCTCATTCAAATACTAGTAAAATCTGCCTAATAAGCCCGTGTCTCACCGTGGCCTTTAGACAAGTTTTCATTGAGAACTGTGTTCGTCTTAAAATAAGAGCATACTTTCTTCACATAACTGACTCCAAGACTCCATGGCGGGAATCAAAGACGGATACGCCCGTATTTCGTTCTGTAGGTAGGATATTTTGGCGGACGCAAATCTCCCGTGACCTTCGATAGGCATTTCGCTTCATTCAAGAATGGTGCGGAATTGTCGCCGACCATCAGTCTCCCCTCTTCTTTTTTTTGAGGCCTGAGCGACTCAAGGTCATTCATTCTCATCAGGACTGTTCCTACTACAAAGTCAACTGAATCTCACCCCTTACCCCATCGGGCCCACTGGCTTGGAGACACTGAATGGACTTCAGCAATGACGCATGTGTCCAGACAGTCAGAGTCGTTCAGTCGCCATTTGATACGACAGTTCGACCGTCGATTTCGACGATGTCCACCGTGTGCCCCACAGCTGCATCAGCGGTGGGAGCAGGGACGGTGACTTGCGCAGGGGTTTATGGTGCCAGTAGACTTGCGTAGCATCTACCTACACTCTCTCCTCCTCCCCCGCCTGAGCCCGGTGTCAAGACAGAGTCAAGAAGACCGGAGATGAGGGAGGCCGCAGGTGGATGGCTCGGACGGATCCTCACCTTGGCGTTCCACCACACCCCCTGGTCCACACAACAATTAACCAGGATTTCAACCAACACAAGACAGATTCGGAGGCTGGCACGGCCGAAGCCGCACCTGGGCGTGCCGCCAACGCCTGGCTCGGATCCCACACTGTGGTGTGAATGCCATAAAGGCCACATTAAAAAGGAGCCATTGCAGCCTGACTCTCAGACCGCCTCCCGTTAAGGAGGAGGTCCAAGGTACCCCGTCAGTTGGCAACCTTCCAAGCCACGGCTTTTAGCGCACCGTGATAGCTTCAAGCGCGTCAGATTGTTTATAGTGAGCAGAAAGTGCGCTGAGTCGTCGACCTCACTCTCCCTTCCCATTCCCACACCCCAGCCGCTGTCAGAGCCGGTCAGCAGACTGGAGTGCGGAATGGGCGCGGTGGCTGTCATGGTCGACTGACCATGCCTGCGCGCGCCACAGCACGACCTGGCCCCCCATACACACACAAACACCAGGATTTCACACAACGGGGGTTGAACGGCGTGTCTCTCACTTGCGTGAGAGTGCCGTGGAAGGTGCTGTTTCAACCCGTCCCCAGCCCACCAGTACGCCACTCCACACAACACACACACAACGCGACGAACTGCGTGGACCGAGTGCGGGCGTCAATCAGCAACCTTCCTATCCTCGACGCTTGACGTGCCCAGGTAGTCTCGGACTCAAGTCACCCGTGCAGCCGAAGCCGCATGGGGACCGAGTCGAGATGCACACTTCCCACTTGCGTGGAAGGTGGCAGTTGGGTGCTTGCGGTGTGTGAGTGTTGATGTGTGGTGGGTTGATGGTGGTGGAGGAGGTAGGGAGTGTGTGAATGTGTTTTGTAGCCAGCGGTTGTCTACCGCAGATCGTTGTGGATGCGCATGTGGCCGAATAGGCCCATGCGATGCCTGAAGGTGCGAGGACAGTGTGGGCAGTTGATTCGAGCTTGGTGGGTATAGGTTGGTGCTCCAGGCACTGGTTTGCCAGTCTCTGTGCGATGGATTCGCAAGTGACCGACCAGGCCGATGCGTGAGGTGAACGTGCGTGGACAGTGTGGGAATGAGAAGTCGGCGGTGTCGGTGTCAGCTGCAGAGGAAGCGGTGGTGGTTGTGATTATGCCGGTCGCGGGCGATGGAACGACGGTGGAGCTGGGCATGGCGGATGTGTTGGATGTGGTGGGTGTGTCCGAACTGTGGCCATTTGATACAGCACATACCACTCGAACTCAAGGCAACTGACCCCCCCCCCCAGGCGATGCGACACACCCACACCCACATACACCACTTAGCACAAATGAAAGCAGCCGACATCACAAAACTCTCTTCCTCCATCTCGGAAAGGATTTAACATTTTAGAGTTAGGATCTAGAGTTAGGGTTTAGGGTTATAATTTCGAGCTAGGGTTTAGAGTTAAGATTTAGGGTTCCCCAGTTTACCAAATGGGGCCGCGTTTTAGGTCTCTGTCTTATTTTGAGTCAGTGTGATTACGTTGGAATGGTGTTGCTGTGCGTTGCAGTGTGTGTTATGTTGGCGGCCTTGTTTCTTTGTTGCAGTGTCTACCTTTTTGGCCCAATACCGATGGTCCCTCTTGACTTTCGGCCTGTCGTCTCCCCCTAACTTTCGCGTTAGGTGTTCCAGTATTAGGGTCTATGGCTGCGGTTAGGGGTAGGGGTCAGAGCTAGGAATTAGGGCTTAGGGAATTTCTAAACGACGCAACACTGCACTAAATGTGTATTTTATGTTTTTAATTCTCTTAAACTTGTACTGAATTAACGTAGACATTTGACTCATGAAATGGTGGCAGTTTGCGAGTGATTGACAATCATTCGTAAATTTCGACACATTTCATGAGTTAGGTCTCTAACTGTATTTCTCAGCCACTCAAAGTACAACCGCTCATTTCCAATAGCTTTTCTTTTGCATGCAATTACTTGACCTCGTCGTCTGTGCGTTCCCCGGCCCCACCTGTAAAAACCCCCATTACCACTGGTCCCGTATTACAGGAGACTGGCGTTTGTTTATCTCAGGTGCGGCCACATAATCACATCTGACCAACATCTGATTTTAGTTTTGGCTTAAGACGCTATCAACATTCCCACTCTCTGGCACTTGTACAGAGCTGCTCAGTGTCTGCGACGAACTGTCGTCTAATATGTGACAGGGGGCGCCAAGAAACCAGGTAAGCAGTTGGGAGATCGACCAGTCCGTTTACAGAAGCGGAAGGGATTTTCCATACTGACTATAGCAAAAATATTACTAGCTGCCTGTTGGCAGTTAATGGATATTACGCGGTCATCCCGCTGTGGCTGATGGACTTCGGCTAAAATATTCATGCATCAAATTTCGGTCTGCGTCTATAGATCCTAGTGTAAACTGACCTACTCCAAGTTCGCAGTTAATTTCTGAGGCCATGAAAAAGCAACAGTTTCTAAACTGGAGCATATGAGGAATGCTGGGAACCCACTAAAGAGCCAAAGCCCTCGCAGCTGGGCCATGCAGCGGCAGAATATCGGCGAAGCATGCGTGTCTGGGCCTTTAGCTAGTACCTGTACTGCTAGTGTGTTATATTCTAAAACCACGATTCTCGGACGGAGTGGTGAGAGAGGAAGGGATAGTTTCTGGAGTAACTTTCTTCTGTGTCTGAATTTTTGGCCGACGTATTCAGTCGTCCATTATTAGACTGAAAAGTCTGCCGCCCAACAGAAAGGGGCGAGCGCCACTACGTGAGTCACTTGGCCCGCCTTCCCGTGAACCGATGTAGTTCTCACGCTATGCCCAGTCTTGTGGCGCCGAGTCGACTGCCGAAGCCTTGAACGTGACCATGCACGAGCGGATCAGAAGACTTTGTCGGCCATAAATTTGCATAGCCGAGATTCACTGCCTCGATTCGTGGATAAAAGGACAAAACTCAGCGCCTCTACAAGTGCGCGAACACTTGAGAACTCCGAGGGCACCTCCTAAAACGGGCAGACGGTTTCTACAGGTGAATGAATGTGTTCCGAGGGTTGCTTACAGCGTCTGCACAACTTGCTTCTGTAAAAGAGTGGGAGAATCTTGCACGGAAATCTCAGACTGCTATATTTATGAGTCTGTCATTTTTGTTGCTGTCGCAGGATGAGAAGTGATCGTCCCCTTACTCCAAAAATAACTGACCAGGCAAGGATTTTTCGAGCCTTCCTTCGAGGCCTCTGTGTTTTGGCTGAAGAGCTTTGTTAGCCTGACGCGTCCTGACTAGTTGTAGCGGCCGAAGACTTTATAGGTAACACCCAGAGGATAATGCAAAGAGAGTTGCTAGGCGCTTCCTTGCACTCATCCAGACGACAAGGCAGAAAGAGTTAGGAGAATGCAAGTTTATATATAATAAGAACAGAAAGTAGTGGGTGGAATGTGACAATGTAGCAACACCTGATGGACACAATATTGTTGACCTACTTAATTATTTTGAGTTGGCGTGATTACGTCGGCAGGGTGTTGCTGTGCGTTGTGGCGTGTGTTCTATTGACGGCCTTGTTTCCTTGTTTCAGTGTCTACGCTTTTCGGCCAAATGCCGGTGGTCCTTCTTGACTTTCGGTCTGTCGTCTACTTCTAACTTTCTCACTTAATGTTTCAGGGTTAGGGTTTAGGGCTGCAGTCAAGGGTTAGGGTTAAATGATTATGGTTAGGGAGTTAGGGATAGGGGTTAGAGTTAGGTGTTGGGGTTAGGGTTTAGTGTCAGGAGTTTGGGCTAGAGGTGAGGGTTAGGAGTTAGGGTCGGGGGTTAAAGGTTGGCTTTACAGATTAGGGTTAGGAGTTAGGGGTTAGGGCGACTATCTCTTAACCACTCAAAATACAACCGCTCATTCCCAAGAGTTTTACTTTTGAAGACAATTACTTGACCTCGTCGACTGTGCGTTCCCCTCTCCCCTATAAGAACCCCTCTTACCAGCGGTCCCCTATTACGGGCGGCTGGGGTTTGCTTACCTCAGGTGCGGCTACATAGTCACATCTGACCAAGAAATGGTGCAAGAAAGGGTAAGTTACGGCAGTGAGTTACAGCTTTGAGATCAGCTGCACTGATCTTCTGGCTAGCCCTTTTTACCCACAGACGCTGCTCAGAGACGAAGTAGTATGGAGTGCTGCACCGACGTTGTATGATACCATCAAGTGGCGTGTGTGCTGGATTGAAGTAAATAAGCATGCTGGACTTGCCGGATGAATGGCGTGATGAAAGAGAGGCTACCTGCACCTATAGAAACTACATCTTTCGCTGTGAATTTATGTCGGAGATTAGAGGTACAGTAGAAGCTGAGGAGATTGCAGGTGATGGCTCGGCAAAGCCGTGTATCTCCATCAGACAGTTCTGTCATCTGGATGAGTCTAGCAGCCGAAATAATGCCAGAAACAAATGACAAAATAAGCCGCACTGCTGGTGTCCATTTGTCCATTGTTAACGCCTGACTATATCCCAGATTGCAAAGGAAAAAGACTGGCGTTCGGATGGAGTAACCACCTGTCCAAGTACACAGTTCCAAATCACAAGTCAAGGAAGACCTGTGGTGGCTCAATTCCGAGCGCGTGTTGCAACGCTGGGCGTCTCGCGACAACTTGCACGTGTGCACCAGCGGCTGCCTGGTTTTCGACTGCTCACAGCATTCCAACTGGCCAATCATCTCCAAGGTCGAATCAGACGAGCTCTCGCTAAGTGTGCTCTGACGAATTGGTCTGAAAGCGTGTGCCATGCCAGTATCAGCAAACCATGACCCTCGCAACCTGGTGTGCGCTGGCAGTTCCCTGACACCTGGTTCCCTGCCGGTAGATGTGCGCTTACACTCCCGATGGGTATACAGGTGGCGGGCATGACTGCTCAGTCATCATCCTCTTTCATCTGACCCCTGTCGGAATGTTTTTGTCGTTTTTGCTGGTGAAAAATCCTGGTCAAGTGTATGTTGTGGAGCAGGGGATGTGGTGGCATGCCTAGGTGCGGGTCCGGCCATGCCAGTCACCCGCCCGCCAAAGGGGTCACGTGGTAGATGTGCTGGATCAACAGGGGATCATATCGGGTTCTGGCAGGCGTTATTGGATTTGCGCACCATAACAAATGCCAGCATATCGGGCTGCGGTGGCAGACACGGTTGTCGGCACACTTCGTGCACAATGGGACCCCTGTCGCCCCCTCCCCATTGTTATTATTGATCAAAAACCTGGCCATTTCCTGTGTGGACCAGGGGGTGTGGAGTGGGACGCCAAGGTGCAGGCTCGGCCGCGCCATCAACTTGCGCCCTCCTCCCACCTCCGATATTTTTGACTCTGTCTTGACACCGGATCCAGGTGGGGAATGGGGAAGAGAGAGTGCGGTATATGCTGTGTAGGCCTACCACCACTATAAACGAATTTACACACAAGTCACCCTGTCTGCTCCTGCCTCACTGTGTAGCATACGGTGGACATCGTCGGAATCGATAGTCGAATTGTCGTGACGCATACACCGCTCTCCTGGCGCCGGGCGTGCCCATTCCAGGCTGTCAGCTCTCTCCAACGCCTTCTCCAGTTATTCTGTACGGAATACACAATTCTTACAACTACAGCAAGTGTCGTCACCAGCCGTGTCAGCCATTCATGTTGATCGGCCATCTGATCCGAAAATTGGTCTTCAGAGGCTGGCCGAGGTAAGCAGCTCGTCTACGCTTGCCACACACGCTCTGTATTCCCGCACAGCGCATCAGGTTTTTACGCAGATGGGAAGGCATAACATAGGGCTCTTAGTACATGCCCTGGACTTGCCAGCGGCTCAGGACTCTATACAAAATAAACACCGCATCAGCTTGTTCTCCATCTTATCCGCCTCTGACGGACCGGGCCTGAGGGTCTTAGTGATTGAAATCTACTCTTGACCTTGACTGTTGTGCCAAAATTTTTCCCAGCATATTGAAGTACCAGGGAATGTTATGCATCAAGTGCTGCACCGGAATACTCGTTTGTGGCTGACTCGGCGTCCTTACTCGTACAGGCCGCTTCCATATGAATTACACATTTTCCCGATCTCAGATGACATGACATGAGCGTTTGACACAATGTCGGGGGCAGTTCTGCAACAGTCAACTGACGCATATTCACGAAAAATGGTATTCTCCTGTAAAATGGGTCCAAGAAAGGGCGTTTGTGTCTGTCTATGAGAGAA